AATTATCTCAGAAAATATTGATTTATTGGAAAAATGTATCAGATAATTAAAGGTTAAAGGGTTTAAAGAATAGTAAGTTTGATTATGCGACACGGAAAAGCGACACGAAAAGTGTAACGAAAATTTGACCAATAGGCGTACGGCGTTGGCGAGACGGTCCTTCTTCTGGCCTGGCACGGTAGTAAGTTTGATTATGCGACACGGAAAAACGACACGAAAAATGTAACGAAAATTAGACCAATAGGCGTACGGCATTGGCGAGACGGTCCTTCTTCTGGCCTGGCACGGTAGTAAGTTTGATTATGAGACACGAATTTCGCGACACGAAAAGTGTAACGAAAATTCGACCAATAGGCGTACGAAATTAAACTTTTTTCGTACGGTAGTAAGTTTGATTGTGCGACACGAAAAGTGTAACGAAAATTCGACCAATAGGCGTACGAAATGAAACTTCTTTAAATACATATTTTAATTACCACTTTTGCAACTCTGGTTTCAACACAACAGTTGTTATTAACCCTGAGCGTCTATATGTTTTCTTTTCTTCTTTTGGCACGGTAGTAAGTTCGATTTTGCGACACAAAAAAGCGTCACGAATTTTGCGACATGAATTTTGCGACACGAATTTTACGACACAAAAAGTTATGGCAAAGCCCTTGCCTTCAGAAGTTTCACTTCTAACGCGCGTGGCAACTGCGCGTTCATTTTTTTTTATACATTCTTATTTTAAATTTTAAAAACGTATTGTAGGATAACATTATCAGAAAAACATCTTATTTCTTGATATATAATATCTTTGAAATATTTTGTTTTAATGTTACCGCGTCCCAATAAAGTATATATATTTATTGTATTATATTATTTTTTATCTTATTATCTTCTATCCATTCTTCGTTAATAGCTGATATGATTTTGTCGTTGTCCATCATTGTGATATGATTACCTTCCACATAATGAATTTGCACTTTACCTTCGGTAACCTAAAAATAAGTTTTTTTGTTATAAAGTTTCTTGTTATTTTTAAAATCATAGTTTTATTTCAAAAATATTTATCCAAATTATAGATTTATTTACCTTATGTAAACCATAATCCTCTTCAGTAAGAGAGACAATCGGAAATGTGGGTTTTAGCAATGTTATAGGTGATTTAAGACGAGGTAATGATGAAATATCGTAATCCTGTACAGCGAGAATGTGATTGTAAACTGTGAAATATATAAGTTTTTGATTTTCGATGGTTAATACATTTAAATCCTTCGGGAAGTAAGCATGAAATACTTTCATTTTTTTGTCCCATGTGTTACATTTATTCAGCTCCAACGCAAGCTGTAAATAAGAAAATTTTGTATAATTAATTATAATAAATATACCAAAATAACATCTGCGTTCTATCAATATAAATATAAAAGATTTATGGAATTTTAAACCATGGTAAAATCTGTTGTTATTCTTATTAATTTATTAAAATTTCTAAATCTTTTTCCATAATTATTAATACTCATTTATTGCTTTTTATCTAAAACTATTATTATTCTTTGATTTTGACACACACATACAAAACGAAATGTAAAACAACATATTTTACTATTTGTAGATTCAAATACAAATCTTTGAAGATATTCATGTTACAATGAATTATTTTATGTGTGTGTTCTTATTTTATTTAAATTTATGTAAGATTAAAATTACATAAATAATTTTTATGATACAAAAATATGTTCTTTTATAATTTACTAACTGTTTTCTTGTCAATTGTAGTGTACATTTCCAATAAACCAAGTAATATCATGTTTTGTAACTCTTCTGGCGAAGTGCAGTCCAAATATTGATTAGTCCAAAGTTTCAATTGATCAGGAGCTCCATCTATTAGTATTAACCGTCCTGAGAAATTATTAGCTTCTAATAATCTTGCTAATTCGATGGCAATTAAGGATCCAAATGAATAACCCACTATTAGAAATTCCCTTTGATCTCTCATTTTCTTTAATATGTGCTAAGAAAATACAAATATGAATGTATATGTAAGCTGTGGTAAACGAAAGATCTGTACCTAATTGTTAAATATTACTTTCAACATAAATATTTTAATTAAATTTAATCTTCTTACAGGCAGCAAATAAGCGGCTGACTTCATTACTGAATGACTATCGTCAGGAATATTAAGTACACCATGTTGCACACACGTTGTCGAAGATTTAATTCCTGAGGCTATAGATTTATATACACTTGAACATCCTTCGATTCCCGGTAAAAGAAATATATTGCCTCGATCAACCTTCTTGGTAACAAGTTCTACAAGAATATCTGGAACAAAGTCTGAATCCTTCACTTTTCGAATCAGCATGTCGAACCCTTCCAAATTACTTGGATTAATTTCATTTGTATCTTGTATCTTTCCTTGGTCGGATGTAATTGTCATTTGTCTAAGTTTTGCAAAATTTAGAGTTCTAATGTCTTGCGCTGTCAGGGAAATATCGAACTCTCTTTCCAACATTTGCTTAATTTCTACTGCCATCATCGAATCCATACCCATTTCGGCCAATGGCATATTTGATGGTATTGCGTTTATGTTCTTCAATCCTATTTTGTTTGAAATAAAGTAAGAATTGTATATAATAAAATCAATTATATTTTATTTTATTTTATCTTTTAAAATTGAATATACACAAAAAATTTTAATCAAGAATCAAATTGCTACATTTTTTTATACCTTTAAACACTTAGCTATTTCAATACAAATGCTTAGTAAATAGAAACATTGTTAATTATTGCCTAATTAACACATATTGGTATGCATCTTATTTTAAACTTTTTGAATTATTAGAAAATCTTCTCATGTCGTAAAACGTTAAAAAAAATTTAAAATAGTATAAAAGATACATCCGAAGAAAAGTTTAATCTTCAAGTAATGAATAAAGGAGCGAAACTCGCGAACACAGACGATCTGTTTGTGATTGAATGTATGTCATTGAAAAATGATTTTTTGACAAGTAAATGACTATATGTATATAAAAGTGCATTTTTTTAATCAACTACTATTCTGTAAATAAAAATGCTTTAATTGTAGAAGCTTAAATAAGTTATCAGTTTATTAAAAAATTTAACGTTTTTTTTCCCAAAAAGTTTAAAGAAACAATTTTTTATAGAAAATTGTTTTAAATAATTTATTATTAATGTATAACAAATAAAATTATAAAATAATTATATTTTGCTCTCTCATAGAGGAAGCTTTGATTTCGTAAACTTCGTGTATGGACCTTTGATCGCGTATAATGCTAGCTTAAATCAACTAAATCTTAAAGAATTATATATGAAATATGGGCAGAAAAAACTAAAAACATAATAAAATTAGAAAAATTGCTAATAATAAAGGAGTTACCGATTTCTGTCTAAAAAAGTCAACGTAATGCTCTAAACAAAAAATGTTTATTGTTCTCGACAACAATTGGCAACCAGTGTATAAAAAACGACTTTACGACCCTCAGGTTTAAGTCCTTATCAAGCAATTATTTCTTTTTCTTTCTTTCAGATATCCTACTTTATGGCTGACTAAATTTTCGAAAAAAAAAAACAACTCTTTTTTCTTCTAAATATCAATTGCAATCTAAAAATTTTGATTAAAACTCAAGTTATACAGTAATAATTTAAATGAGAGAAACACGTAGAGACTTAGAGAATTAAGTCTACTGCAATTGTGAGAGATAGTTTTCCAAATATTATAAGCATTCCTGTAAATTTAGCGCAAAAAATATATTTTTTGAGACATTACCTATACTTATTCCAATAAATACACTTGGAATAACATTTTGATTTCACTCTTATTTCATGGGATTATACGTATTTAGTATATTTCTTTGTTTAGCTTTATATAAAACGGCTTACCCATCATATGAGCAACTGTTTCATAAATATTCATTGATCCGCCAATTTTTGCTTTTTCAGCAACAACCATACTGCTTACGACAGGTCGATCTTGTAACAGAAATACTTCTAATGTCTTCAAACAGGAAGATATTTGTTGTTGCAATGTACCTCCAATAACCAGTTCCTTATTCTCTTCTTGCATATCTGCCACGAGTCCGACATTACCAACAGCACCCCATTGTATCGCTAAACTGTGTAATCCTTTTTCCATCCTTTTCTCACAAATTCTCTCCATTACGGAATTAGCCATCCCATAATTTGTCTGGCCTGCGTTTCCTCTTCCACACGAGACGGACGAAAAAACGACAAAATGTCGAAGTTGTGGACATATCGTTTCCGACAATTCGTCCATTTTCTTCGTCATCCATGCTTTCGATTTAAACGAATCTTCGAACGTTTGTGGCGATTGATTTTGGAATGTACAATCTTTTAAAACAACTGCAAGATTAAATATGGCATCCACTGGTGCTCTTTCTTCAGCAAATTTTAATAGGGATTCACAATCTTCATGTTTCAAATTATCATCCACTGTAACAATCTGTACATCCACACCGTAAGATCGCCATAGCTTTACTCTTGATTGTTGATAACCTGTTCTAATTCCGGTTCGAGATGTTAATACCAGATTCTTTGCACCTCGAAGAGTCAACCAATCTGCTAGCTCTAAACCAAATCCGCCAAGTCCACCTAAAATAACGTAGCATTTATGCTCCAAACAATAATATCGTGGATGAGCGAGTAGTGGAGCATCCAAAGGCTCTTCCTCTTTGTGAACTCTGATAATTATCTGCAAATAAGTAATTAAGAAACAATCTTTTCTTCTATAAAGTAATAAATTATAAGTAACAAAGATTTCATATTTTATTTTATTATTGATATTGTTTCGCATTTTATCATTAATTTTATTATTTATTTTAATTAATTAATAATTAACGTCATTTATTAATATAAATACAAAAAGTTTCTTGGTCAAATAAAATTAAATTTAAATAAACCTACATTTGTTACTACCTTTATAGCATTAATTAGAAACAAAGAATTGTTTCTAGTTTGATATGATAAAATATTTTGTATTATAATTACATATTTTTGTGTATATTAAGAAATAATTGTACCTTGCCAATATGTTTTCCAGCGGCCATATATCTAAAGGCAGCTTCTATTTCATTTCTTTCGAAGACTCTTCTGCATAGTGGTTTAATAGCACCGTCTTTTAAACCTTCTGTTATTATTTTCCACAACCTTAACTTTTGTCCTGCGTTTGAATAAAATAATTTGTCTAATAAAATGCCATAAAAACTGATATCTTTAGAAAAGATAGATATATCCAAAGAATTATTGGAAACCATATCAAATTTTCCAATTTCTAGAAAACGGCCACCATTTGCTAAACAGCGAACAGATGCTTGTAATTTCTCTTCGGCTAAGGAATTCAATACGATATCCACTCCACGACCTTTTGTACGCTGCATAATCATTTGTTCAAAGCTTGTATCTCGAGAGTTTCCGATATGATCTTCGGGAATGGAAGGAAACGTTTCTCTTATAAATAGTCGTTTTTCGACAGTTCCAACTGTCGTAAACACTTCGCAACCTTCGTAAAGCGCAAGATGGATCGCAGCTTGACCAATGCCTCCAGTACCAGAATGGATTAAGATTTTGTCTCCCTTTTTCATTTTACCCCGTATGTATAAAGCATAGTAACACGTGCTGTACACACACGGAATCGTTGCTGCGTCTTCCATTGTCCACTTGTCAGGTATAATCCAACTGAGATATTTATCGGCCACAAGAATGTTCGTCATTCCTCTATGCATAAAAATTTTGAAAATGTATTTATATATCTAAATGTTACTTTAAAATGACGTATATCTTGCATATTTTTAATTTAAAATTAAATTTAAGTTAATGTGTGTTACTTAAATTGAAACGGTATTAATACTAATTATAATGATACTTATATAAAATAGAAATTAATACTGTCAATTGCAAAAAGTCCTTTCTATCGCATATGTATTGAAACTCTATATTTTACCCGTGTGAACATAATCCCATTATCCTCTGCTTATGCGTATTGAAACCAACAAATTCTAAGCCAATGAAACAGTCGTTACCGCGTTCGAACGGTGCGATAGTTTCAGCATTAAGTCTGCCAGTAGCTACCATGATATCTCTAAAATTAACAGACGTATAAATTACATTAACGAGATTTTCATGGTTAATGCGAGACATTCTGCTCTCTGCCCAGCAGAGAGTATTCAGATCTCCTTGTACCTGTTATAAGTAAACATTAATTATTATTATTATTTATAATAAAATGTAATAGTACACTTTAACATACCATCTGCGTTACGTAAGCGCTCTGAACAAGTTTTGGTTCTAACGATGGTAATGGTAA